TTCGGAGAAACTTGAAATTTCAGTCGCTTTTTCCTCTTAAATCGATTCAAGGTCTTTTTACGGAAAATTCAGCCAATTTTTTTTAACAGTGTAGTATAATTATAAAATTTGTTGGTTTCTGAAACGAATTATTTGTGGAGGATTAGTCGTTTGTCTTTTAATCCAAGGGGTGTTTTATCGTGCTGATATGGATCCAGATAAGAATTATCCCGCGATTGTGAATCACTAAACTCATTGAGAGAATTTTTAGTTGTTATTTTGTATGCAAAGTGCTCTGGTGGTTTACAATAGGAAGGAAAAGAATACTGAATTGAATGTAAGAAAGACTCACTATTGATTTTGCTGTTTTTTTCTTCATCTTGAGAGTCAAATGCAAGCATGAATTCCTAAATTTGTACACTCTAAGAGGAGGTTCATCTCGGGATAATTTTTTTAGTACTTCGAGAAAAAAAATATTGAAATACTATTTCCCGCATGATTTTTCCCAGTGCTAAAAATGAGAGATTCAAATTTTTTCAAATCGGAAATTCAACTTTACAAGAGTCCATCGTATTTATTTTTCAAACAGTTTTTAAATATGATCACAAATTTTCGCTCCTTAATATTTATTTTCAAAAATGTTTACGAGTATCAATTAGATGAGTGAATTTCCAACTGATTTTACCCTACGTTTGAGGGAAAATATTCACTCACTGTATACTTTACAGAGATATTTTATGTTTTTTATTTTTGCCTGAAAAAGCGAAATGCTAATTGACATCTCCCCTCCACTACAGTCTGACTTATTCCACCCATAAAATAAATGTGAAGGCAGAAGTCAATTGTCAATAAATAAAAAATTTCTGAAAGTTGTAATTCAGTTTGTAAAATAATAAAGAGTAGGCAAAATTTTTACAGATGTGAGTTGTTAAGTGGTAAATTTAACAGTCACTCATTGGGGCTTTGAATAGTTTGGGTACTCGTTTATGGGTGCTGAGGGGCTTGAAGTTTCACTTTTATTGGGGGTCGAACTGGTCACGGAATATTACAGGGGATTTCCTGGGGATTGAGGAGGGAGGGGAGGGGTTATTGCGAGAGGGGGTTATAAATTTGAGGTCTCGGGGAATTTGCAGGACATGTGGTGGACATGTGCACTGATTCGAGCGGTAAAAAATGTTGGCTAATGTGATTTATTCCGGGGAAAAATTGAGGGTTTTTACGGACAAAAGGGAGAGGATTAATTCACTTTTGTCTGGACTCTTGATTGAGGGAAAATGTTGGCGGCAGGGGAGGGGGAAAAACATTGATGAAGGTCCTTGAGTGTCTCTCGGTCAGTGTCAAGGTTAGGTGGTGGCATCCACACGTGATTAATCGCCACTGGAATCACATTTTATCGGGGGGGGGGGGAGTAGGACGAGTTTTGCAGTCAATGTCACGGTGGTCCTGTCTCAGTGTCAATTGGGGCTGAAAAATGGTCTCCAAATTGAGGATTTGACGTTGAGACATACCCCCAGACTAATTAAAACCGATAGAAGAAAAATTCCCTCAAACTAAAGAAAAACCCTGAGCCATCCTCACCTTCAGTTATTTTTTCTAACGTTCTCTCGGGCATTTTGTCAAGATTCTGCTCTGTAAAAATAATCCCAAGCTTTTTTGCTCGCTTCTTTCACTCAAGTGGGTGATTATAACTCACCGAGGCGATTGGCGTGCCCCTGGATGCTGAATAAATGGGGAAACACTAGATTGGTTGCCTGGAATTTTATTTTCGGGGACACCACACTGTACTCCAACTTGTCGACCAGTTACACCGGTTTAATTACACTCGATATAAAACCGTACCTCTTAACCCTCGTGTTATTACGCAATGATTCTCTTTATCTCCTTCTCTCTCTCTCTCTTTTTCAAACGATCGATGTGCATCGATCCTCGACACACTTTTCTCGTTCCCTTTTGAAAATAAACAAGTGTACAGTGATGCATGTATTCCTCACTCTCAAAAAACCCCTTCGTCTATTTTTATCCCAAAATTTATCAGCGCGTAAAAAATTATTTCCCTCTTGAATCCCCAAACCTCATAAATCCCCATGGGAAAATATTTCGAAAACATTTACAAAAGTTCACCCTAATTAATTGTCCATCGCAACAAAGCGATCCCTATTTTCACTCCTCTCGCGACGTTATACGTGTAAATTCTCAAGCCCATGAAAAAACATTTTCTAAAAAAAAAATTCCAAGCAATTAATTTTTACGATTTCCAGAGGCCTCTCGTATACGCTGTACATAACTCCAACCCAACAGACACAATACAATTGCCGCGACGAAGCCCACGTGCACACCATAAGCGCTCTAAAACCAAAGACTCCTTGTGTTTATGAATGCATGTACAAGTAAAACCGCTGTGACGAGGCGTGCCACCACGCGTCATCGTTTCACTTTCGATAAATCGCTCATAGTGCACGTCTTCCACGTATTTAAATCGTCAGTAATTCTCGGAAATCTCAGCCTAATGAAATTACAAATCAGTCATTAGCTCAGAGTTTCTCTCATTCCAGGCATTTCATCCGTGAATTTAATTTCAAAAAACCTCATTCACACAAACTCCATTCATTTATATTACTGCACTGCTCCAGTTGCCCCCCCCCCCCACAATTATTCTAAAATTACGCAACAAGTCTAGAAAAATCATCAACGGGCTCGCGCGAAAAATTAATCCCCCTCAATTCGGCGAATTTTTATTCGTTATTTGAACAGTTTGGTGTCATTTGGAAAGTTGGATACATGTACGAATAGATTTCCCAATCATTTTTGCGTGTGTGTCTGTCAGCGCCACCGTGCGGCAGCACCAAAGGCGCGCGTAAAATAATTGCGACAACGCTAATCCCCTCCCCTCAATCCTCACCTTCCCCTCATCCAATTCTCATTTGTAGATTCATGGTATAATCACAGTAAAGAGAGAGCCTTGGAATAGGCCTAGACCCAGTTCCACCACCAACAATTCCTCCCCCATTAACCTCGAAAACATTCGCATTAAATAGAAAATAAAAATTCAAGAGTGAAAAAAAAAACAAGTCAGCGATTAAAATCTGTTACAACAGCAAAATTTCGTGTATTCTATTCTAACGTAGTTTCAAAATAGAAAGTTGCCTGGACACACACTAATCCCGCTGATATTTCCACCGTCGAGAAGCGGAATCAAATTTTTCAACTCCACTCTTATTTTTTTTTCGGGTTTTTATGGGGATCCGGTGTTGGAAATCAACCAACCGACATGAGAGGACCGGAAGAGCCGATGACGTCACTCCACTCGCTTACCCGGCCACGACGGGGGAACGAATAAAAAAGAAAAGAGCGAAAAATGAAGCGAAAAAAAATGGTGTATGGAGAGCCTGTTGGCGTTCGACGCACGTTTTCATACGTCCACTCTGGGTTACAATGGGAATACCATTGGCGATTGTAATTTGCGTCGCCTTTTAATTCGTTAGACTCGTCATGGTGCCTTATTTTCCATAATTTTATCACTGTTTAAAATTCGACGATTGAATAGACGTTGACAATGTGGGCTGCGTAACGTGTCTCAAAGTGAATGTAAAAACTAACGAGGGTATTATCTGTAATGACAGTGTAGTTAATTAACACATTTACAGATTTACAGTGGAAGTATGATTTGTAATGGGCCCCTTATCGGAAATTCCCGAACGGCTCCTCCAGTTTGAGTTATTCAAATAGTTGAGATCTATCGAATACTCGATTCAGGCGAATTTAAGTGAGTTTCAAATAATTTTTTCGCACGTGAAAACAATTCTGATACGATTGTCTGACCCTTGAGGGCCTCGTCAGTAATTTTGGACACAAAACGACAATGTGCTAGTGAACTGAATGTAAAAGGACAATTGTAAAAAAAAAAACATTGAATGTTCTATCATTTCGTTCGATTTTAATTAATCATTCAAGTTTCTGCGTACGCAGGGGCTTTATAGCCGCCATTTTGTCCCTTGCCCCCCGCACTGTTGACAATGTGCTCGAAGGAACGAAGGAAATTATATTTATCCATAATGAACCCTTAAAAATTAATTTGTTGAATAAATTAACGATAACAATGATTGGTGCCATGTCGGTCACTATCCAGCGTATGCTATGTTTGATGTTTCGTCTCTCTCGAAAATAACCTCACTAACTTGACCACTTTACGCCCCACTCACCCGCGCACCTATCCCCGTTTGCACTACTGAGAAGACCCCTTAAGGTATATCCGAGGACAATAGCACCCAAAAGTTAGTCCCTATGGATTTCCGGAGAAAATTCTAAATGACTTAATTTATTGCATTCTCATAAGATATTGAGTTTTTCTATCCTTATGTGTCCTGGGCGCAGGCAACGACAACTATTTGAATAGAATAAGAAATCCTTTCACAAATTCGAGTTTCGCGAAACGTTCAAGAACGTTTTAATTACCAGAAAAAAAATAATTTGAAGCGAAAATAACAAAGCAAAGAATAATTAAATTAAGAAATAGTTGAATATCGCCGAAACCCCTAATTTCTGGACGACTGGGCTATATTTTTTTTTATTTATGAAATGTCGATCAACAGAAAAAATAATTGATCACATGATTATACACGAGTAATACCACTGAAAGGTGAAACAATCAGTACAATTGTCATTTTATTTATGGAATATTCAATGCAAGTTGAAATCGTCCAGAAATTGACCTGTTCATCACGGATTAGTTTTGAAAAAACATCTCATTGCTTATTATCCCCTAAACTGTGTAGTCCAGTTAAAATTATTTCCATAGCTGGAAACTATTAAAGCCATTATCTATGAAAAACATGGGGAAAATCTTAAGAAAAATGTGTTCTCTAGTGACATACCTCACCCCCCCCCCCCCCCCAAACCCCC